AAAAAAAAATTAAGTTACTAAACAAGCTATCTGACCATGTGTCAAATTCTAGTATCTTTAAGATTATTTTCCAGTTTTATAGAAATAAATTATTTTAAGTATTTCCTTTAATCCAACTTAGAGATGGGAGGTATAAATATAAAAAATCTGTATAATATTTTTTGGTACTGGTTCCAATAAAAACAATACATATTGAAAGCAATACTTGATGCTCTTAAGGAAAGAAAGACAGTATGTAAATGGTAATTTTGACAATATCCACTACACTTTTCATTTAAGGATTGGCATAAAGTTTATCATTACTATAATAAATCGTAATTCTTGGTATAATGGCAAAAATAGCCAATTCCTAATCTACCTTCAATATATCCTGTTGTAAAGGAAATTGACAACTTTAAAACAATAATGTTTAGAGCAGAAATAGAACAAGTATGAAGCGGCTTGTTTTTATGTATGAAATGAAAAGAGATTCAAGGGAAATGGCACCACAGGCTTGCAAGAAATGCATACCAATGGGTATAACTCTGAGGTAGTGGTTAGATAAAGACAAAAGACAAAGCTGGAAAAGCCTAAAATAAGAATGTGCTGCAGGGCTTTCTTGAAGGACATTGTGGATTATGGGAAAAGCAATATATTGTAGTTAAAAAATGCAGAGATTGTTGTGTTAGAAGTTGTATCGCTATTTGTCTTTGCATTTTTAATTGTATTGCTTTTTTGTACTGTAGCTTTTGTATTTTGCTGAGTCTTCTGGGCCACCGTCTGTTACAATAATAAATTCTTTTGAGGTTTCTATAAAAGATGTGAACAGTGCAGCTCAATAAAGTGTCAGGAAAAATTACATGTTTCCACATTTTCAATGAAAAGTTTAAAAAGGATTCCCTGTGTTTGTATTCAACTAATTTACCCTCACAGACCTAAAAAATAAAGAGCAATTAAGCAAGTATGGTTATCTTGGAGGTGCACCTTGACACCCACAGTTCAGGTGGGAGAATGTTTTGATCAGGCAGCTATTAATGTTGCACTGCACAGATCTGGCCTTTACACAGAAAGAAGCCAGAATAAAGCTGTTGTTCAAACAAATCCATTAAAACTCATACCTGCAGTCTTAAACTATGCATGCAACATCAAATATTTAGAATAAGGCGTTCTACTGAGATATGACTATATTTGATGGGTTTTCTTCTACTTGCAAAACACTGCACATTAACCTGAACATACTATCCCCACTGTGATATACTGCTGTGCAACTTAAGCTAATTAATGTCATGTTTTGATTCCATAAAATTCTCACTTGTCTTAATTATTTGTTTTTTACGTGAACTGTTAACACAGTCTGCAAATGGGTTTTAAACAAGCAAAATATATTTTTGACATGAGTTAGACATTAATACAGAACTAAATACTGGTTTTCTTTCCTTTTAGGGAGCACCAAGAAAAGCATGCCTGAAATTTGGTGGCGAGGTCCTGGAACAGAAGTGAAAATCCACAGCTTCAGCGGTGATACAGCAGACACCTACAGTGGCCCTTCCCATCCCCGCGCCTCTGTCTATATACTGAGGCTGCGCTCAAAGCAGCAAACCACTAAAGCTACAGTGTTTCTCCATGAAGGCCCAGGGCCCTTAGGCATCTTTCCTCTACTGCCAGCTGACCCGCGAGTTCACACATTAGGTGTTGGTATGACCAGCGTAACCCTCAGCTGGGCACCGAGTGCCTCCATAAAAAGCCTCCCAAAGGCAAAAAACAGTTTTGAATACTGTGTTCTCACAAACTCTCTGCAAAACTACCCCAGCCTCTGTGCAGTAAATGAGAGGAAGAAAATCAAAGAAAATCCGAATCGAGGCAAGGAAGGGAAAAAGGGACAAGTGACATCATGGCCAGTCTTAAAAGAGCTGTGGTGGGAGGAGAGGGACAGTTATCCTGAATCCCAGACTCTGCCATCCACACTTACAGATGATTTGGATGATCTCCAGTGTGCATGTCAGGGGACAGAAAACGTTTGCACCGTCTCCGAGCTCCTGCCTGACACCTCATATTACTTTGATGTTTATGTGATAGATAAGGTGAATGGGACCAGTGCAGCATACAAGGGGACATCTGCGCGGACACATGAGGAAGCACGGGCTGCAGTCGTACCACTAAGAGAAGGAGAGCTGAGGTGGGTGACCTTTCGGAACAGAGGCTCAAATTGGCAGCAGTTCTTCAGTTTCCGCCCTCGAGGGTGGCAGCAAAGTGGCCTCCTCACCTTGCAAAGCTGTGGTGGAGGTGAAAAGATAACAGTAACTGTCTCTAGCAAGGGACAGGTGTTGACCTCTCAGAAGGTGGGTGCAGATTTAATCCACATTTGGCTCCAAGGAAGTCCTTCCTATCTTATTCTCTTGCAACAAGACGAAACAACCAATAGCCAGGTAACTAAAGTTACAGACGCCGTTCGATTAGGAGGTTTAAAAGCTTCAGTTAAAATGCAGGTTTCATCTGCCTACCACCGCAGAGGGGTGCCATCTCTGCCCTCCACCTTGCAGATAAAATCTTTCAATCGGCTGCGTGGCTGCAACAGCGTCACCCTGGCCTGGATGGGAACAGAGGAGAGAAGCTTATACTGTGTGTATCGCAGAAAGCTCAGTAACTTTAATGAAGAGGCGGGGGGAGCATCCGCTCTGACTGCTCCTTGTCTGGGCCCAGAGTCTCGCTCTGACACTGAAAGGGTTCTCTGCAAGTATTTCCAAGAGCTGAATCCTCGACGGGCCGTAACCACAGCTGTGATCGGGGGCCTGGAGCCAGGAATGGCCTATGTGTTTGATGTCTATCTAATGAGACGCTGGGGGATCCCTATCAAATATGCCAGCAAGATGGTGAAGACCAGAAAGGAATGTTGAGATGCTGCCCCCTAGAGGTGGCTTACAAGTTGTCCCTATTATGGGAAAGTGCATCAGCCCCGGGTATGCTGTAAAGACAGACCAAGAGCTCAAAGCCATTTGACTGTTGTCAAGAGACATTTTTGGGTAAAAAAAAAGAAAATAAAATGTTCTCTTGAAAAAACTGTGGTCAAATTCAAACCCTACTTTATCAGAACGAGTGGACGACAAGGATTTGGGAAGGATGTACACACCAGCAAAAGTGCATAACATTTTACAAAACAACTTTTGTGCTCTTTTCATTTAGTTCCTCATCGTTGACCATCATAGTGACAAGCCAGCTGTCTGAGTGCTTTTTAATAAAAAAAAGTATCTGTGTAAACAAGAGGCGGGTTTGTGACGACAGAAGTAATTATTAAAACAACAAAGAAGACTGTGCCAAATTTGCACCTAAACAGATGGGGCAACAAGGAGAGGAGATCAGAGACGGAGGGATTTGCAGCATGTATATTCAGAGCTGCATATTTTACAGGCTAATAAAACAGGTGGAAACGATCTGAAGATGCTAAATTCAAAGTCTGTACTTGTCTTTTTGTTCTGCTTTTGCATGAAGCAGTGTGAAATTTCTAGTGACTTGCCTCATTGTCTTTGATGTATTCTTGTGCTGCTTCAAAGTCATCAATAAATACTAAGGTATCTGTATAATCTGGAGTGATGAATTATTGTGTATATGCCCCATGAACTGGAATCTGTCATTGAGTAGTTTATGTTAGGTTTTAACTTTAACCTACTCCTTTCCGACCTTCAATGATTTTAATTGGTCAGAAGAAATTTGCTGTAAAAGAGACGTAACATCTAAATACTCTGTTTGATGGTACGGTAAGTTTACAGTCCCAGATGTGTTTTTTGTCAGCCCTGATAAATGTTCCAAAAGCCTTCAAATAAATTCATTTTATATTGGTGTTGGATAGTCTCATTTAAATCTACTCTTTAATTTGGGCATATTTATTCAGAGGGAAAATCATATTTTTGAAATAAATTGCTGGCAGAACTATTTGTATTTCTGTTGCTAATGCTACGAACAGCCCGACTAAATCAACAGGACAATAATTTTTCTATAAAAATTCAGAGTGTTTCACTAAGATGGGGCACACAGAAAAAGGCATTTTTGATAACTCCTCTTATACGTATATATATATATATATATATATATATATATATATATATATATATATATATATATGTATATATATATATATATAAATAAATAAAATGTACAATGCAAAATTGGTTTCCAGAAATGTTTTACAAGCGCTACACTGCTTCATCTCTTCTAATTAAACGTACTCTGTTTTTCTTATGTATTTACAATCTTGTGTTAACAGGTATTGACAGCTAGACAGTACTTTTAAAATGCATAAAAATCATCAAAATAAAAATATATCTTAGCATTTTCAGAAAAGTAAAAGTTTAATTTTCTTAGTATTTATTCTTCGAGTAAAACAATAATGTTTTACTGTTTACATTTTTCTTTAAAGCTAAATTTTGGTCAAAGGAGAATAAGACCAAACATTTATTTAGTTAGGTTTTGTTGGAAGATGCAATTACATATATATACAAAAAAAACAAATGTTCAATCTTATCAGGCCCACTGATTCATAACTGATTCTGATCAAGTTATGCCCAGTATGCCAGGCTAAAATGACATTTATTAGCTTGACTGAATATATATATTCCAGATGTCTCAAATGCATTTATTCCTAGTCAGAATTTTAAGATATCTATCTGTACATTTCTTACTAGTAGCAATGTAGTTTTGACAGGGAAGAATCTTATTTTAGAGATCAACGAATGGAACAATAGAGAGGACAACGCTTCTAATAAATCTCAAAACAGCCTGCCATATCATGTGGGCCCGTTTTCTTAAAATGTATCTGTCTTTCTGTCTGTCTGTCTATCGTATATTTTTTTGAATATTTATAATCATGTATCATATTAATGATATTGCTTTATTATTCAGTTAATTTATTTATTAAGTATTGATGTATAGCGGTTTAACACAAATAAAATAATTTATATAACGAATTATGCTGTCAGAACCAATCAAAGAAAGCCTACAGCATTACGTAAGCACGTCTTTGCACGTACGGAAGTACATGACAGGCCAGGGCGCCAAATTGCTGTTTAGAGCTTGAGGTGCTTAGAGAAAAGGGACCGGTTACTTGAAATCGTTAAAATAATCGACTAAAGTTGCCAATAACCGGATCTAACTGACTCTTCAAACAAAAACTCACGATGGGTTTGCTCGAGCGCTGCCAGGAGCTGTTCAACACCTCCAACCTGTACGAGGTACTGGGTGTAAACAAAGAAGCGAGTGAAGCAGACATACGAAAGAGCTACTACAAAGTTTCTCTGAAGGTCCATCCAGACAGGGCACCAGAAGACCCGCGAGCCACTGAAAAGTTTCAGGTTCGCTTTTTATATTGTCAGCTGTCCAACCGGCGCAAGCTAGGAGCTAATCTAGCTAACTGATGCTAACCAGTGGTAATAAGGAAAACCTCGTCATAGCGATCACAGTTTTTCAATGCAGCAGTACATGCACGTTTGTTTGGTTTTTACAGAGTATTAATTTGGGCAAATGTAATTTATGTTTAACGGCTAAAATGACACATGATTAAATTTTGACTCCAGGTATTGGGGAAGCTCTATGCGGTGCTGAGTGATAAGGAGCAGAGGGCAATCTATGATGAGCAGGGGGTGGTGGATGAAGAGTCGGATGTTCTCAGTCAGGATCGCTGCTGGGAGGAGTACTGGAGGCTGCTGTTCCCTAAGGTAATAATTCCGTAAAAAATTCAAAAAATTTCCACTGGACTTGGTTTCCAAGATTTGAAGACCTTTCGCCACCTCTCTAGGAAGCTTTCTCAATTCAAATTTCTGGATCCGCAGTGAGTTTGAGTCTTGTATAGACAAAGTCTTGTATCGCTTGGAAACATGCAAATGGTTATCCAAGCGATACAAGGCTTTGTCTATATAAAAGACAGGGGTTTTAACCAGCTGTTTCAATAGCTTATGGTGTGAACCTAGAGTCAAACCAAATCTGTGCATCAAGGGTTGCTGGTTCTCATCTCCTAAAGGATCCATTTAGTTTTTAATCAGTTTTTGTTGTTTCACAAAAAAATATTTAGTTTTACTACTTTGGTTTTGCTATAAATTCTATGGACTTTAAGTATGTTTCTCTCTGATTAAAATCGCAGGCTTAACCTCATACATACCTTTCTGTTACATTTTCTTAACAATTTTCACAATAATAAAATTTGTTTTTGATCTTGTCTTAACAACTTTTGCAGCCAAAATCATAAAAGTCATGTAATACTCTGTCCTCTTCCAAGACTGATGCCCTGCATCGATGCAAAATGTGAATACTAGTGACCTTGCTACTGTTTTTATCTCTTTCCTAGATCACGGTTCAGGATATTCTTGAGTTTGAGAAGAAATACAAGGGCTCTGATGAAGAGCGTGAGGATGTCATCCGGCTCTACATGCAACATGAGGGGGACATGGACGCCATCACTGCTTCGGTTCTCTGCTGCTCTCAGGAAGACGAGCCCAGGCTGTGCAGCATCATCCAGGAAGCTATCAAGAGCGGGCAAGTGGAGGCCTTCCCTGCTTTCACCAAGGAAAGTAAAGCAAAGAAGAGGGCTCGCAGGAAAAGGGTGAGAACTATACAGAAGTTAAAAAAACAAACACAAAAATGCAATAAAATGAAAAAGATCCTCAAGCTTAGGTATTGTTTTATTGGTTTTTCCATTGTGATTTTTTTTTTTTTTTTATGGCCAAAGTGTTCTGGTAAACAATAGAAAAAAAAAGTTCAAATACATACCTCTTTCTGGTATCATGCAACGACTGCACATAAGCAGGTAAACCTGTGTATCTTTACTAACAGTGTGCTTGGAACTGATCTTTCAGGCTGACCAGGAGCAACAAGAAGCAGAGGAAATGAAGAAAGAGATGGGCCTTAATGATGAGGATGAGAGTCTTGTCATGATGCTAAAGGTATTACCTCCTTACACATAGGGACTAACACAACGCTTTCTCCTAATTACGTCTTACTTTTATCTCTTCCTTCTTTTGCAGCAAAAGCAGCAGTCCAGAGAGAAGAATTTTAACAGTTTCCTCTCAGATCTGGAAGCAAAGTACTCCAAACAAAGCACCAAACCACAAAAAGGAAAAAAAGCCAAAAAGTAAATGTTAGAAAAAGCTAAATAAATTATGTATTTTTTTTTTTTTTTTTTGTAGTTCATATAAAATCATAAATGTATTCAGGATAACTAAAACTGTTTCTGCCTCCTAGTTCCCAATGTAACACAAATATGTAAGTGCTGTTAATTCTTGTAACGTGCTGTAAAGTTTCTATAAATAAATGCAATTGTTTAAATCATTTGTATTTAAGTTTGTAAAACACAGGCAATTGTATGTTATTATTATCCCTTGTAAGAAATAAGTAAAGAAACTACTATTTATGCACTAACCCTGATGTGACTTATCAGAGTACGACCAGTTGGCTTTGCTCAAATAAAGAGCAAAAGATGACATTAAATACACCATTTTGTACAGACATGAATCATTTCTTATTTACACATATTCTGTATGATTCCTACATTGTAGGATGATTTCAGCAGAAGCACCTAGTTGGTAGAGATCCTCCCTGTTTTTACAACAGATGGTTGGATTTTGTAACCTGACAACAGCCAGATGCATGTCTAGCGCTAGACATGCATCTGGCTGTTGTCAGGTTATGGATTTTGCACCCAACAGGTTTTCTGTTTTTGTTACGAAGGTAATACAGTACAAAGCTCCCTGACATCAGAGAGGGCGGAAAAGGTGCTTTTTTTTTTTTTTCATCCTATAACTTTTTATCCTGCATAGTCATTCACCCTTAACAGCAACACAGAGCTGGGCATGTTATACCGCATTTTCACATAAAGAAATACTCATTTTTCTCATGCATAGCCACATATACAACCCATACTAAACAAAAAGTGATAGCTTTTCTGTTTGGCAGGCCCATAAGGTGATTTCTGAAGTACAAAAATAGGCCTTCAAATATAATTCAGTCATATATATATATATATATATATTAATAAAAAAAACTTCAAAACAATGCAGGCAAAGATTGATAACGGGTAGGTTGTGGAGATCAGTGGCAAACTATAAGCCAGGCCTGCTGGATCTGGATGAGAGGCCGCCTCTGGTATAGGAGTGGGGTGGAATAGACAAAGGAACAGAAGCAGCTGCTGGAGAGGAGAGATATATAACAATAAAATTAGTTGCTGGCAAACCTTAACCATTATGCTGCTCATAAAATTTACTAGCAACTGTCTGGAATAATTAAACTGAAATCCAGCCAAGTTATTTTACTGACATGTGACAGGGGCCTGAGACTCGGGCTCTTCTTCGTCTTTTATGGGCGACTGTCCCAGCGGGTGGTGAGGAAAGGAATCCAAAAAAGATGAGCTGCTGATTCCAAGACTGATACCAGTCACACCAATTCCCAGAGAGTCTGTTGATAAGAAGGAATAAATAAATACATAAGTCAGTAACTACAAGACAAAAAAAAAATTAATCCAGCATAAATCAAGCTCCAACAAGGGCTGAGGGTTAAAAGCAAAAATAAAAAATATCAACCTCAGGGTAATGCTATTTATAGTTAAAAATGTATGTGTTTTTCATTTTGTATAATTGACCTACAATAAGTGACTTACAGCTAAGCAACCCCCCAAAATTCACTCTCAGAACCTAGAAATATTACATACGACCAAATAAAAGAAATGTTCCAACATGGTGGCGTTTGTTCTGGTCAACACAAGCATGGGAAAGACTGACACTAGTTTTCAGACCGTTGTTAATAATCTAAAGACACTAGCTCTTTATAGAGGGCTGCATCCAAGAATATGGTTACATTTTGATAGGAAGGAAAAAACGTGTGTGAAAAAAGTGCACCAGAAACAGAGACCATTTACTTTAGTAAATGTTCACACAACACGGACTGGCCCTGACTCATTTTGCAGCTCCACATGTGGTTGTTCAGCACAGTGAGGGAAAAGTGCATAGACACCAATAAATTCAAAGTTTTCTTTTCCTCCGGGCGGAGTTTCTGACCTGTGGCTACAGAGGCTCTGCCCGGCCGGCCCTGCCCGATGTTGTCCAGCACAGTGAAGGAACTACGGTAAGGAGTGTCGGACTGAAAGACAAAATCACAGCAGACTGATATTAAAACATGCAAACACACAATGAAAGCTATAAATCATATTAAAACAATCCTGTTTCATTCTATGAGGAACGCTAAAAAAACTCACCCTGTATGTGCGGGTTGTGCTGGGTCGAGAGAGGACGTCCTGTATGTGGTGACGATCTCTCGGTATGGAGCTGCGAGCTTCATCGTGAAAAGCACTGTTGGCACGACTAGGAGGGCCTTTATGACGCTGTGAGACAGAAATAAGAAGAAACAGCTTTTTGTGTGACATCAATGCTATAAGCTTTGGTGCATTTCATCATAATTTTTATGTGAAACAATATTTTGGAAATTTCTTTATTTACAAATGATCCTCTGAAACGTATTCAGCCCCCTTTATTCTGGTATCCCTAAATAAAATGATTTGTAAACAGTTTTTTCTGATTACTAAATACAGTCCTTCTGTGTTTGATTCTCAGTATGCATATAACTGATGGTAAAAGGCCTCCAACATTTGCTTTGAGAACCTTAGCGAACAAAGTGCAGACAGATAAGTAATTACGTAATTTCCCTCTGGGATTATTAAAGTATGTCTGATTCTGAGATAAGAGAAAAACACTGTAGAGAAGTTCATAGTTAAGTTATGAAATAATATTTAAAGCTTTAAACATATCCCAGACTCTATGTAAACCATTGTCTCAACATAAAGAGTTGGACAGAACTGTTTATGTTTGACAGGCTTGGCACGGAGAAGATTGACCACAAATTGGGATTTTCTGAAACAGTAATGAGAAGAAAGCCAGCATCATGCTGTGGGGGTATTTGTCCACCAGGGACAGAGAGCCTGGTCATATATACGAAACGCATCAGCATCAGGACAATGAAGTTAGACAGCCAGCCAGCCAGGGCTGCTATTGTATAGTTTGGATCAGGACTTGAAATTTGCTGTTAAAAGATGCTCTACATTTGATCCTACTGTCTCTGGGCTGTGAGAAGATTACAGATATAACCCAAAATGATTGCAAATGTTATTGCAGCCCACACAAATCACCATCAAGAAGTTATGCAGAAATGTAAAATGGTCTAAAATCCTGATAAAACAAGTTTTTATCCAGTGAGGCGACAAAATGCATAAAAGGGTAGGAATAGTTTTGAAGCAGCATACGGTAAATGACTGTTTTAGGGTAACTGATACCAGCCATACTGGTTCTGGTCGTAATCTATACCTGTGTGAGCTTTGACTGCACTCCTCCATGAGACGACTCAGAATCTCCGGTTCCAATGGGGGGAAGGGGGGTGTTGCGGCTCAAGGGCAGCAGTGGAGATGTCAGTCGGTCACTGACTGTGGTTCTGATGGAGAGAAAGTGGATCGCTTTCAGAAGTGTTTTTTAATTTGTCACCTTACAGTTTTACTTTTATTTGACCACATCTAACTTTAAAGTATGAAATGTTTTAACCCCTTCTGATGAAAAGTACTTGGTTCATGGATTGTCATTTGGCAAATGGATCCAAGTTAGTTTAAACCAAAGTTTGGGTCAAATTCTCAAAGGTTGAGATGATCTACTGCAATAACTCTAGTTGTCATGTTTACCAAGATATACAAGAAGGAAAAGGCTTTAGTAGGGTTAATGCCATGTCTAACTCACAGACGTGTCCCGCGGATAACCTCATCCAGGTGTCCCCCTGTGCCAGAGTGACTTGAGCTAGGAACAAGGGGCAGTAGGTTTCGAGGAGGAGGGTTTCGGCAGTGAGCTGATTGCAGTGGACGAGACAGCGAGGAGGAGCTCTGCACCAGGGCCCTACGAGGACGAGGTTTACTGGAAGGGACAGCGCTAGAGACGGGCCTGTGAGATGCACGCTCGTTCGGCTCCCTGCATGGAGACAGAGAAAGATGCAGAGCTGCTGATTGGTTCAGCGCCGGGTGTTTTAAGCCACAAACAAAACAGTATCTGATCAAGGATTTGCATCTTTTCTTTTGCCAAAATCTGATGGTAAGAATGGTAAAATGTTTCCATACTGGCTTCTCTCCAGCACAGCCAAGTTTCTCTGCTGCAGGGGAATGCTGTGAATCACGATGAGGTCGTTCAGGTTGTGCTGCGCTGATGCCACCCCTACAGGCGCTCTACCAGCCTGAAGGTGGAAGAAGAGGAGTGAGAGGAAAAAAACAAGATAGATGGATCAAACAACATTTTTTGAAACCAGAGTAAAGAACAGCTAGTGAGGAGGAGACAAAAAGAAAGGATTCCCTGGAGGAATGTGGTTAGTTATTTCAAAATACAAAAAAATGAATCAGCAATCATGCAGCTAAGGTCCCAATTAGAATAAAACCCTCTGATCTTGTTATAGGTAACTAGAGAGAAACATTATTCAAAATAAAAAACTAAATAAAACAAGCTTTGCGTCTCTGCAATGTTTTGAAGATGATTAAACACAGTCAAATGGGATGCTTGAGTGTTAATCAACAGGAACGAGCACAGATATTCAGAATAATGAGCCTCTACAGATGGCGTGATGCTTTAAGCAGGAGAGTTACATACAGCGGAAGGCCTTTTCTGCTTTTTGGATTTCCACCTGGAATTGTTCTTTGAGCCGCTTGACTTTGTGTTCTTTAGAAAAGGGAGAGGGGATAGCCACGACCAAAGAAAGACAGAGGATAGAGGGAAAGAGGGATGGGAAAGTAGAGAGGACAGAAAAGTAGAGTCATAAAAATTTAAGAAAAGCAAAATATACAAAAACAGCAGGTTCAAAAAAACATTTCAAATATAAGGCAGAATGAGAAGGGATGGAGACAGTTGGAGGTGAAAAGTTACAGGCAGGAATGAAAAGCCTTAAATACTGAACTATCCACACTAACTGGAAAACTCTGACAAAAATGTTTAAATAGGTTTAAATAAGGTTTTATGATCATAATCTTTTACAGAAAATTTGTCAAAAAACAAGCATTTAATTTAATTTATTAAGTAGGGAATTAAAGATACTCATGGTCAAATATTTTGGTAAAACCAATGAATTTTACTGTGTAAGAATCCACCTTAAAATAAAAAAAAAGGGCACCTGGTATTTTCAATTATCTTTGTCCCTTTGGAAAATCTTTCTGGATCATCCAGGGGCGGCTGCTTCTTTCCTCTCTTCATCTAAATAACTGGTTTATTATCCTGCTTATGGACTCTGTGACGGGTCATATTCTGTTTCCTGGACAGATTTTAACTCGGCGTCTGAGATTTCAAACAGTTAGTAAAAATACCGTTAAAGTCTCACAAAGTGTACAAAGTGGGCTGCCATTGTGCGGTGCCCAGGGAGCAGTAATAAGAGACAGCATCTTAGATCCTCCACCAATCAACAGGGGTCAAAAAGTTCTTCACCACAAAGGAACCAATCGGTGTGTTTGTGGCAATAAAACATCATCTTATTCCCACCTGATGGTTAAAGTGAAAAGTTCCAGGAGAGCTTGTTACATGCCTGTTTGCACATAACATCTCCAATGAGTGCTATGAGACTTGGTGATACTTTCATGCAGCCCCTTAAATATCTTACCATTCTTATGCTCATTACATAAACTGGGGCAAATGTTTAAATGTAATGAGCCAGAGAGAAATAGGTCTCTGTGCCCTGTCAAATTTATAACCCCATGAGAAAGGAAGTCATAGATTAATAATCAAAAGCAAAAACTCTGAGTGACCTAAAAAAATATAGAACATCTAAAAAGCGTCAGTGACATACATTTGATGATTCTGAGTAAGCAAAGGTGATTTTAATACATTAAAAAAAACGTATTTTATGACTAGGATTTTTATGTCCCTTCTCAATAAATTTTGTCAAATTATAGAATGGACTAAATAATCTGTGTAATATTATGCCTCTTCGATAAGGGAAAGCTTTAACACATCGTTATCTGGAGTTATAGTCATTTTCTTATATTGTCAATTAGTTTTCATGAGATAGGCTGAGATCAGTCACTAATGAAAAAGGTTTTTATTGGATGTTAAAAGAAAAGAAAGCTCAGAATGAATTATCTTATCTACAAAGACTGATATTTATTCAATGAAATCCCAAATGTCCTTTTTTCCCCCATAAGCAGTCTCTTGTCTAGTCCTCCTCAAACCACTGACCTGGAGCTGTGGTCCAGCTGCGAGCGGCGGCACCCGACTTTGACCGAGTTTTGGAAGCATGGGAGGCAGCATAAAAGGATTCTCAATCTCTGGGTGGAAAGGGCTCAGTTTCCCAGAAATCGTCTCTTCACCTGTTAATTAGACAAAAACATTCCAATCTCCCCTCCAATATTAATATATATAATTATTTAAAGTAACTACAGATGTTTTTTCATTCATTCATTAATTCTTGAAGGAAGTAAGGAAGGAATTTTTATTTAGGTTTAATGAACCGTTTTCAAAATAGCCTAGCTTAATGTGTGCAAAGCAGATAAATTCTGTATTACTGGAGGTGCAGCACTCCCAGTGACGTTGAACCAACTCTTTCATCCAACCGACCAGCTCCTGCCAGACATCATCGAAAAGCAAGTCAAGAACAGCCTGACGCCGACAGCGGTACGGTGAGACGGGGGGCAGACGGTGATGCCTCTGCACCGACTCCAGACTTTCCTCATAGCTCTCCTCATTCCTTTTAGAGACACAAATCACAACCAGAATTAACATCGGTCCAGCCGGATTCGACAAGTATTTATAAATGTGAGCTACTCACAGGTCTCTGCTATCATAAGCCAGATACTCCTCCATCTCACCATCTACTTCAATCTCTCTCGTCTGGTCATGGCTGCTGGAGCTGTTGGTAAGAGGGCCATCAAACTCCGAAATTGAGGATTTTATCAGGGCAGCTTTCTTTCCTTGAACATTCAACCTTTTTTTGCCCAAAAAGAAAACACTGTTATTCAGAGATCAATCAGTCCTAAAACAGGTTTTAAAAAGTGCTTTTAGTCAGACAGTATAACTGCCTTGTGTACGTCATCTGGAGACTCAACTATCCAACACGCATTTAACCCAAATACTTAATGAAACAGTATGTAGGTTACAGAAATATAACTCCTTTATAACTGCAGAAATCAGAAAATGCGTCCAAAAACCACTCAGTACAAAACATTCTAGTATTTATCTGAATGATGGAATATGTTGTCAAAAAGACATTTATAGAGAGATATTATCATTCAATCAAACGTATTTAGCCACAAACGACAACTAAACACCATGTGCCATTCTCATGAGGGATTCAATGTTTTAATTTGCTCTACAGAACCGGATGTAACCACCAGTAAAATTACATTTTCACATCAAAGAGTGAGAAGAGTGAGTGGGTTTGTGTTTTTTTACAACCTACTCTGCACCCCCCTTCTCTTTGCCTTGGCACTTCACAGCCGTTTTTCTGCCTGTTGATGGACTGCTGGCAGGGCTGGTGCTCCCTGGAGTCGCGTACCACTGGAAGCCCTCATCTGTGGGACACATAAGCTGAGTCCCCACAATCCTGAGAAACACACACATAAAGATAAAAGTTAGCATTACAAAATAAAAGCAGAAGCTTGAGGAAAACAGTGACAAACTTACCGAAGATGTGGAAACCGCGAGGTCCACTGCTGACATTCGTCCTGTAGCCCCTGGAGTATCCCCTCCCCGCTGCCTCTCCCTTCGTACAGTTCTGTGTCGATCTCATCAAACATTTGCTGCACTTGCCGCGATGCCGCCTTATCGAATTCCTGTGGGACAGTAAAAATAAAAACACATTTCAGGAATATTCATCTGTTCTTACACTGAATCTACAGCTGAAGGTTACTGCTTTGCATTCAAGTCCTTTTTATAAAAAAGCTACTGTTGAATTCTCTAGTTTCCAATCCAACAGAGAAGTTCATTTGAAATAAAAACAGAGGGAAAACAATGAGAGCCATGAGTTTGTTTTTCTTTTAACTAATAGGGGGGAATATAATTTATCAACCAGCTGAGTTAAGAAATACAGTATTCTAGCAAATCCACTGGAATGAGGCTTTTGCATGAAGCAACCTGCATGCAAATTAGCCATCTGGTATTCTACACAGATACTGTCTGTTTCCCACACATTTTCCAAAAGGTGATAAATGCTGGTTAGACTTAATGAGAATGTGGCAGGATGCTGGTGTAGAAGCAGAGCAAACAGTAGAGAATGCTCTGAATGCAAAATATAAATAAATAAATTCTCCTTTAACAACTGACTGGGACAGGTTGGCTTTTTTCACATCATAATAAAATCTCTTTCTGAAGAAAAGCAGCTTACATCGTATCCCCAAGAGAAAACAGAGCTCCTCTCTGTGGAGATACCGGTTCCTGTGGAGCTGGGAATAGCAGACCAGGGCTGGCTGGATGATACTGAGATAACCGTCTCACAGTCCGATTGGTCTGAAGCGACAGATGTCTGAGAACTAAATGGAATACACAGCGATCTTTTAATACATCTTATATAAATATAAAGATTAAACAGCAAAGACAAAAATCATTTCTATGTCACAAACACAAACCTGGAGGAATCCATAAGATTTTGGGTGAAAGGCCAAAATAAAATAAAGCATAATTATGAGAAGAAAAATAATATTTTTAAAATAGTTAACAAATAAAATTAAAAATAGACCCTTTTTGCTTTGTTTATTTGTGTTGTTTCAGCTGTTTCCATAATCAGAAGTCACCAAAGCAAGTCATTATGGCTTTTTTACAGACAGTTTTTAGTCCAGACACCGTACCTGACGCAAAAGAGTTTTAAACCGCATTGCAGTGCAATACATATAATATCTAATAAACAGTTCATCAGTAAGCATTTTATCCTCAGTACAGATACAGCTGCTCTGTAAGGGCAGCAGCTGGTTTGTTAGAAAACATTTGTCAATATAAAGCAACATGATGCTGAAGGAACCCAGAAACCTTCCAAGACATCACTATCTACCTAACCTCAGGGGCCTGAGAAGATGAGCTTTAACCAAAGAAGCAGCAAATAGCCTGGTGGATCTCAACGTTTGAGAGTCTAGATTTCACAGAGGGGTGGAAGAAGAAGGATATAAAATGTGGTTTGCCACGAGCCAAGCAGGGATCCAACTGAATATGTAGAAGCAGGGGCTCTAAAAACAAAACCGATCTGTTTAGCTCACATGCAGAATGTTATGTATTTTGTGAAGGCTTCATCATCTAGGGGGAATCCTTTTCTTCATGCAGGGGCAGGGAAACGGGAGGAAGACTTGGAAAAAGATTGAGCATCTGCTCCAGCAATAAGCACTGACGTAAGAACCATCTCCTTTTTTTTAATGCAACCAAAAGGTATTAATGAAACATTATTTAAAAAAGCAACAAAAAACAGACCAAATCAGAGACAGGAAACCATGGTATCAGAAAGGCCCTTCAAAGTCTAGATCTAAAATAAATAAATATTAAAAATATTTTTTCTCTAAAATCCCTGTAACATGTATTCAGGTTTGAGGCTATAATGTAACATGATCTACAAATTTTCAAGAGGTATGAGCATCACATAGAAAACCATTTCTTTCCTGATTTCACATGAATAACAAAACATGTCCAATATCTATTTAAATGTGGCAGAAATGTATTTTGTAGGGCTACAGAAACACAATTAGTGGCGGCTGCTGATAGAATCAGTGGAAACAAGGAGCAAATGTCAACTTGCTAGAATATTCTAACAGGCTGCCTAATTATTCATCCTTTTGACTGCACATCTGAAGAAGGCAATGTGATATTAATTAATCCGCTGCTTCTTGGTGTCACATAGCAAGAGCCCTGAGAATCAGCTGTCTGCTTAAGACGGTGTGCAATTACAAAACATGTAGAGTATCTGTGTGTGTGTGTATATTTAGTATAGTCCCTTGTTCTACATCATGGTCCTTCTTGCCTATAGGCCCTCAGCTACCTGTTGTGTGTAGAGACAGCCTCCTGTAGGTCATGGAGGTAACGTGGAGGGGTTTGGGTATCGTCTACTTCCTCGGGGAGAGGGTGGTGATCGAGGCTGCTTCGAGACAAACCACGACTGCATAAAGAGATAATAAGGAATGATTAACAAACTAGCATGATGAAAAATGATATATTGTTTTTCTCTCTTACTGGAACAGCAGTTAATCCTGACACAAAAAGATTTACACACTGTATTTAAAGAGTTTGCAGTAGGCATGGGTCAGCTTATGAATGCTAGAGAATTGCACAAATGTTCTAAGCGTGAAATATACACTGGCTAACTGCTTTTATTTAAATACTGAGGCAAAATTATTTCACCTTTGCTGGTGCCTATCGAAGATTTGGACTTTATTATGATTTTTAGGAGAATTGGCGGGAAAAACAAAGTATACTCTTTTGCATTTGTGGAAGAGGAGCAGCAGCAGAGGAATAGTACTGTCTGCTTGGGATTAAGTAAAATAGAAAATATGTAATAGAAAAATTATATGAAAATAAAAACACAAAACCTATTGGAATAAAAATATTCAACTTGTTTATATAGTAACAGATAGTAGAAACAGACAATGGGGATCACTAGTACGTACTAAGAATAAAGTGCTATGAACTGATTATTAGTATTAAAGCATCAAACTGTTTTTAAAGTATATGGTTTCACAAATGCCAAAATATTTCCACATGCATTCTTGTGGGGTGTTTTTTTTCTTATAATAATATGCAGTTAAAGGCGCCACTCTAGCCAAAGTACTATGGAAAGAGAGGCCATCACTGCCCACTACCCTCCTGTTGCTGCACACTGTCTGTCAGCTGGATAATGGAACATGTCTGATAAATGGTTTTCAAACTAGAGGGGCCTCATCTATCCGTCTTATTTACAAGGTACTACAAGCTTTTCATAAAATCCAGTGAAAAAAAATAATATCCTGCACTTTAAAGGTTCTTATATATTTACATGGTGTCTATCCTACTTATGTGTCAATGTAGGAAAATTGGCAATATTATTGATCCTATTATAATTATAGGTGTTAATGCATTGGCTTATCTTTGGTAGGACAAGTGTTGCCTCTTTTACATCATGCTAAGCATAGTAATGTTAAACATACACTGATACACTGAAATCTTAATATTTTTACTTACCGGTAAGTAAAATCTCACTAGCCATACTTGTAAAATTCAGAATATTTCAGGCCTCTTTCAATTACAAGACAGATCAGATGAGATGTAAATGTGTTTAACAAGTCACTAAAGCATTAAGCTTTTTTTTCCTTTTTTTTTTTTACCAGAGGTTTGAGTCGTAAGGAACAGTTTTAAACCTTGTCGCCTGGTTTTACAATGTAGCTTTAACGCTTAGTACTCACATCTCAAGTTTGTGCGATACTTGTTTCCTGTTGTAGCGTGAAATCATCCTCTTTTATCTCCGTTTCAAAGGCTCAAGCCCACGTCTCTCATCCCTGCCTCCTCTCCCTGGATTCTCTGCGAACAGGGAGGGAGCGCCAACATCTCCTCCAGTGCCCCTCTCTCGGTCCCCACCAAGAAAAAGCCTGAATCTGGAGGACTGCGGATCACTGTAAAGGGGGAGGCTATGCTTGTAAATTAGCTAACTAGCGCTGGATAAACGGTTATATAAAAAAGGTGAAGGTGGCTCCGCATCGCTTCTAAATCATGGTGCATATCGTCGCATCAAACATTGATCGCATACAATCAAGTACTATCCATTCAGCCTTTCTAAATGCTCAAACTCCTCGGACATATGCGATGCTAATGTTAGCATAACCGACGACAACAATAGCATGGCTGTCATGGAGACACGACGTCATAACCGCGCGGATATCTGGGAAATGTATTCCAAAAGCAAAACAAAGGAAAATTAGCAGAAGTGCCTACTAAAACATTTAAAAATAGAACTACTTTATAAAAAAGTAAAGTAAATTTTTTTTGGAGAAAAGTTACTCAAGCAGGCTATTGAGCAACTAATCATAATTTATCTGATTTACTTTTAAACATGACGTAAAAATAGACTAAGATTAAAGCCTAAAGTTGTTTAAAAATGAACGTACATTTAAAAAAACTAAAATAAAGGCAACACTAAAAATAAATCAAGCAAATTAAAACCCTTTTATAATAAATAAATAAATAATTCATTTTCAACATATAACCTATGAAACCAATCCTTACAATATGTAATGCATAACTGTAAGAACAATTTAAAGTTCCTCCAGTGACGGTGTCTGTCATTCACCGTTTTTTAGGCAAATGTTTACTCAGTATGCCTAATAATAGCAAAACTTCAAAATAATATAATTCTACTAAAAATGCAGCAAAGTAAAACAGCTCCTAAAAGTATTATTATTATTATTTTTTTTTTTGTCAAAATGTACTCAGGTTAATGTAACTGACTAAATGTTACTAGTTACCACCAAAATCACAGGTATTATCACGATACAATGTATCAATCTGTTTGGGTTACAATATGTTTTCCGACATTATGAAATCTGTGATCGTTTTTTGTTTTGTTTTGCATTAATATTGATCGATATAGTCTACTGTGATCCCCTATTAGATATCAGTATTTAAAAAGACCAACTAGAATAGTAAATATTTAACCATTCTTTACATTGTGTTCACTAGAAATTCCAGCAAATATCACTTATGATACAGGCGTGCACTAATGATAAATTATGTTTAATAAAAACAACACGTGTTGTTTCTGATATAATAACGTCCGTGAAAAATACTGGGGAAAAAATCACAAATGCATTTTTATTTATAAATGACTTTTATTTAATTTTAGTAAAGCTCTCCTTTTACCTAGACACAATTTTAAATTAAAGATTTGGTAGGGCGGAACCTTCGAACAAACACTAAGGTGAAGCCGGCTGGAAATTAGGGAAGGACTTAAACATTGACAGATGGCGTGATCCGCATCCTCTTTAAGTAGGGTTCTGTTTAAACCGACTACATTTTACATTTTCAAAGCGATGCTGTGTGAGTGTATCTTCCTCCGTGGTTAACTATTTCCAGCTGCTAGCGATGGACTAAACACCTTCGAAGGGTTCTGGTTTCCTGTTGTTCCATCAGTCGTTTCTCTAAAGAAAATCCCAATGGACGCCTTGCAGAGGAGGAGGATTCCGGAAGATCTGGTCCAGTATAAACTTTTCTTGGTCCATGCAGAGAGTTCATCTCCCCAGCAGACTGAAGAACGCCTCAAACACCTGACAGAGGAGATTTTGGCTAAAGTAGCCAAACTTCTGGTCCAATACATCTGGCAGGATCAACCATTCAATCTGAAATACCATCCAGAAATAGGTATTGGTGTAGCTTTTTTTTTTTCTTTTTACAACTAGATACGCAGACCTGGACGCATTTGGTGGCACCTCTGGTAAAATTGTTTAAAATAGTCCTAAAAATAATGTTTTTTTTTTATTATTTGTGGAGCTTAACTTCCTAGCAATTTAAGTCATATCCAAAGTCTGATTTAAGAGCATTGAGATAACTAAGGTTCACTGTAAATCCTAGCAGAAGGTTAGTATATTTATTCAGTTTCAGTGCAGTATGCACCTAAACAAAGCTGAACCTAGTTTTTTTTTTTTTACTTACATGTTTCATAGATAGGTTGGCAGCATTTGTTCTCATCTGCCTACATTGAAAAGCAAAAAACATATCAGATACACCTAAACGTTTCTGTTTGTTGACAGGAGATGTTCCTGCTCACATTGGAGGCAGCACTCGCTTCGGAGACAACATTGAGGATGAGTGGTTTATTGTTTACCTCCTGCAGCAGATCACAGAATTGTTCCCAGAACTTGCAGCCAGGTTATACAACATGCTATATAAGTGTATTTCTTTCTTTTTTGACCTTTGCCTGTTTCTTAAACTTTTTAAAAACTGTTTGTGTGCAGAATTGAAGACAATGATGGGGACTTTCTTCTGATCGAAGCAGCTGATTTTCTTCCTAAGTGGCTGAACCCAGACACAAGTGAAAACAGGGTAAGTCATTTGGATTTTTATGTAGGCTACCTAACTTTTCATTTGAGGATCCCACTCAGTAAGTTGGTCTCTAAAAAATAGGCCGGTTGGATTTTGAATCACTCTATGCTAATATTGAATGAAGAAAAACTGTATTTTCAACACATCCATCAACAGCTAACTAAAACTACCCCCAAAATAACATATTTAAGAAGATTGAATCAGTTGCTGGTGGAAATGAATGAGATTTGAGTTCAAATAATGCCCCAGTCCTCCATTTGATGCTAAAAGTATCTCCACTTTATTTCCTTTGCAGGTCTTCATCTACAGGGGAGAGCTGCACATCCTTCCTCGCCCATCCAAATCCAGTTCAGTCGGCTTCTCACTCGATGTGGTCCCCAGTTTGGCACAAGCTCTCACACTGCTCTCTGCTCACCCTGAAGCATGTCAGGCGAGCCCAAAAATTCTTTCATCTTTAAAGAAAAGACTAGAAGGGTGAGGTTTCATAGAATCAAAGTTGTTGTTTGACTTTTTATAATCATCATATGAGAACGGCAAATGCAACATCTTCTGTGCGTGGCTGCTAAAGTTAGAAATGGAAAAACATTAAATTTGTTTTTTAACCAACATAATTCTGGCTCCATAAAACGTCAAAATGCAGGAATCCAAATCATATTTTTGAGAGGTGTGTAAATGAAAAGCAATGCTGTTAACCTGTAGGTATCCAGAGAAGATTAAGGATAATCTCTACCGGGCTAAGTGCTTCATCCCAGCTGGCATTGCTTCTGTTCTGGCACAGCGTCCAGACTTGGTGGCCCCTGCGGTCTCTGCCTTCTACCTGCGGGATCCTTTGGACTTACAGACTTGTCGGACCTTCAAGACATTTCCTCCTGATACAAGAGTGCTCACCTTGGTAAAAATCATGCAATTTAACAACACATTATTGTGGTTCTCTTTCAGCTCTCATTAAATAGTAACCTTATTCTGCATATATCTCCAGGTTAAATTCACCCGCTGCCTGTATGCCCAGCTTCAGCAGCAGCAGTTCACTCCAGATCGGAGGAGCGGCTACGACCTGCCTCCTCGCTCTCATCCATTGTACAAAGCTCATGAGCTTGGAATGAAACTGGTGAGCCATCGTTTTAGGTTTTCTTTTGTGTACATGCAAGTCTGTAACGCTCTCAATGAAAGTTTGTCTAATTTTTTTATCCTATTCTTAGGCACACGGCTTTGAGATCCTGTGCTCTAGGTGCAGAACGCCGTCATCTGAGCCCGATGCTCCGATAGGCTGCAACCCTCAGTGGAAAAGCTTCATGGAGAGTCTAAAAAAGAATGGCTACTTCAGAGTGAGATACACTTTCTTTCAATGTCATTGCCAGCATTGACAACATTTCTCCTATTAAAGTCCTTTTTAATGTCCATGTTTTTAAACGCAGGACCAGCTGGAAGGTTCGTCTTTGTATAAAGAACTCCTAAGGTCTGCAGAAATATTCTTCAAACAATCAGTTATGTCACAGCCAAGGTGAGGATGCTAACTGTTACTGCCAGGATACATGAAGGGAGTCTCATCAGTGAATCAACTGTTGGAATTGTCTAGTCTAACACAACTTTTATTTTCTAATTCAGCCTGCTGTGAATGTTTTTTTTTTTTTTTTTTTTTCAGCTCCCGCTCTGCAGGAGAGGAGATTCTCCAGCTGCTTCAGAGCAGTCCTTTCAACTTGGAAGAGTTAAAAAAACTTGAGTCACAACTCCCCCAAGAAGACAGTGAGTGAATATTTTAAGGACAACAAATCCCATCACTTTTCTGCTATAAAATATTGTTTCTGGGTTTTGTTTTTGGTTTAAATTTCTAAAAGAAAATTGTCAACTGTATATGCAATTATATATAGAAGCAGGAAACATTACAGACGTCAGCTTCAAGCGGCCATCAGATACTTCTTATTTTGTTTAATATTTCGATTTAAAATGAATTTGTGCTTTTATTTTTTTCTCGTGTCTTACTGCCAGGACAAACGGGTTTTATTGGGAGTTTACTCCTTTATATTCTTAATTATTGTTTTGTAACAATGTTTTAATTAAATTATGGGCCAGTAAAATCCTCTTTATTTAATTTAAAACAGAATAGCAACACATTGCTGCTGTAGCTGAACTATCACAGCTGTTTTAAGCTGTCAGCTCTATGGAGTTTTTAACAAATTTTGATTTATAGTCTATAGTAAAAATATGAAACAAACAAAATCATACTGTAATTTTTAAGGGCTTTTTGTTTCTTATCTCTTCTCGTTTATGTTTCAGAATAAAAATGACCAATGACCACTTTACTTTCCAAAACTAGCTTGGACCCCATATGTTAAGAAAAAAAAAAGAACAATACAACTGTCTGTCTTTTAGCAGCGTTTTTGTTAGTAAAGTGGAGCAAAGACATGCAGCAGCTTTATACTCAAAAAGTACAACTGGGTATTGTAAAATATTAAAATTCAGTAAATGCAGAAGTTGATAAAAAAAAAAAAAAACATTTTTTATTTTTGTTTTACTTGATTGATTTAGGAATACGGTTCCCTCGTTTTTATGAAATGCAAATAAAAGTGCTCATAACATACGTGTGCATGTTGCCCATATCAATCTTTTCCTACATTCCCAGTTGCCTACAAATAATTTTGTTTCTTTTTGCCTATCTCAAGGTGACAGCTGGTTGGATATCACTGCTCAAGATTTAGAGCAATTGCTGCAAGAGAGAAGCGGCAGGATCCCTGATGTAGGCAGAGAAGGCTTCAGCCCTGCCAAACAGAAACTACATGTTAAAGATGCAGCGGAGAGGAGGAATGAGGCTGAGGAGGAGATGAAGGAGGAAGAAGCAGGTTACAGTCTTGTAGCTGTCAGCAAAGGGATGAAGGACTTCCTCAATGCCATGTCGTCCCATGAAGGGGCCGAACTGCCCTGGTGAGGCAGATTTCTGCACTTATACTTTTTCTTTTTTTTTACTGTAGTTAGATTGTTTTTTCAATTGTGTTTAATTGTTTTCCAGGAGCGGTCAAACTCAGCCTTTTGATTTTGACCCAAACTCCGTGGCTAATGCTCTTGATAAATTATTAGGTATGTAAAACCAATGGGGAGGTTAATTCTAAATATCAGTGAAAAAAAAAACAGTCAATATTTTATTTGAGAATTTTTTATTTGTTTTAGGAAGCAAAGAGGAAGAGTTGGATTCGGATGATCTGGATGATGATGATGAGGGTGATGATGAGGAGGAAGTAGATGAGTTGGAGGAAGGCCAAGCTGATCCCATGGAAATGAATGGCACAGCAAGTCTGGATAGCCTTAAAAGATATATGGACCAAATGGATCAGGAGCTGAAAACCACTAATGTAGGACAAAGCTTCTCTCAAATGGTAAATTGTCTTTTTTTTTTTTTTTCTTTTTTAAAGATTAAAAACTATATTATCAGGAAATACACCCAGGTCCATTATGAAAATGTGATTTTTCACAGGCTCGCACGGACAGCAGCTCAGGGGACGGGCATCCATCAGCGGAAGGGGGAGTTGAGGAAATCCAGCCTTTGGACATTGACATTAACTTGGTTGCTAATTTGTTGGAGTCTCTGAGCAGTCAGGAGGGACTAGCTGGACCTGCTTCAAATCTACTGCAGAGCCTGGGAATACAACTACCACCCAACTCTGACCCCTCATAGAGAGGAGGAGGAAAAAAAGGACTGAAATCAGGAACTGTTGAAAGAGAAGCTAAGAATGAACAGATGGAAAAAGTCTGGCTTCTTAATGTCAAAGAGTTTTATGGTTGAAATGCTTTGTGTTTGTTACATCTGCAATAAACCTGACCTAACTAAAAAATAGGTGCAAATAAAGATTTCATGTTTATTTACCACTTCTGTTCGGCCCTCAACCATAAATAAATCCAGATGTTTCTAAATTTTTCAAACAAAAAACAGAAAAGACTGTCACGTTTTCCTGCATTTGATGAAACGATAGTAAAAAGAAGTAAAAGACATGCAGTTGAGACCTTGAAGATGCAATAACTTAACCATCAGCATCACATTTATTTAAAAACACTTAAAAACAAAAGGAACCTGTGATATTGTGGACCACATCCTCCTATATTTACTATTGTGATCCATTACAAAAAAAAATGGATGGATGATGAGGTGTATCTGTTTTTTTATCTATATTTTATAATGCAAAATGTTTTTTAGTAGTTTATTACAGTATTTAATTCTGAGAAGGCTGTAAAACATTTACCGTGCAACGGGGTAAATTCTTCCCTTAAAACCTTGTGACGAGAGTCCACCTGTGGTAAATTCAGTTGATTGCACATGATAAGGGGAGTAACACATCTCTGTAAAGTTGACAGAGTGCATCAAAGCTGGATCTAAGCACTAAGGTCAAAAACATTGTATGACCTTAAAATAAAAAAGTAGTTTATCACCTGACTGGTGAAAAAAAAAAAAACTTGGTTATGTGTCAATCTGTGTCTTCCAACATGACAGTGATCCAAAGTAGATAGCAAGAGAACGAAACTAAGGATAGATGAATCTAAAACTGTCGACTAATGTCCATTTTTGTCTGAGTGAGCTTCAAACTAAACCAAAACGAAATTTTGAAGACATTAGAGGCATAATAAACACCTAAGGCTGGGATTGCTGCTGAAGGAGCTTCAAATTTTTTTTTAAATTATGGGTATAGATTCCAAAAAAGTTAAACAAACCACTGGACTTTGTTTTTTTAATGTTTGACTTTGTATTGAAAACTCCCTTTTCAGAGGCATAGGCCAGTATCGGGTATTGCAGGCCAACAACGACCTAAACGACTCCCCATTTCAGAGAGTTGACCTGTTTTTTACGGTTCAATTTGCCTGTTTTCTAAGCCACAACAAGGCTTTGCTGCGCTGCACTATAAAGCCTGGAACTTGAAGAAAACTTCCTGGATGGGAAGCGAAACATCTTCGAACTTGAAAAACAAAGTCCAATGGTTTGTTTTCTAACTTTTTTGGAATAACTATGACCTGGATGTCTGGCTTTGAATGGTTTTGACACTTTGGATTTAGAAACTTTTTGTAACAAAGAATATGCACATCATTGTTAATGACTTCGTATTTCCATATTGTCATTAATGTGTGCAGATCTAAGGAAAAAAAGCTCTTAAAAATGTAGAAAGAGCAAATTTGCAGTAACTCATTTCAGCATTCCATACTTCTAATATAATTTATTTTCAGACTTTTGAAATGTCTACCAATTTTTGCCATTCTGCTATGAGCCTTATTAGCTCTTAAACCTCATCAAAGAGCTCTTCTTATTGCCATTTTCAGCTTTACAGTATTCTGTGCTTATTTGCTTTTGCCTTTAAACATCGGACACAATATTTTAAACTATTATCTTTGCTTGGATTTAAACGTCATTGAATGGCGTATGTAATGCTGCAATCATTTTCTGTGCATCTTCAAATGAAACCGTAGAAGGATTCAACTTTTTAGCGAAGTTAAACTCTCCCCTTTATTGCATTTACACAGTATTAACCCAATTAATGAATTTCTTTCAGTTTTATTAAGCATGCACATTTTACAACAGAAAGGCTTGAACATTGAACAGTTTATTTTAAAACATTCATATGTACATTTAAATAAGCTGCAATGTCTTAAATTATGTCAAAATATATATATTTGTTTTAATGGAGATGATTTTAAGACAACAAAAAGTATCAGTATGATTAATGATAGCAGCTTGCTGGTGCCGTGCCCTTTTATCTGAGCACATTAAAAAACATCTGATTTAAGATTCATTAGCTAAAAGGTTTGAGTTTAAATATTTTTAACACTGATTCCTCTACATTCTGTTTCATCTGAAAGTTTTTCAGAGTCATTCACAGTGAACCTCCTCAGAGGTAAAGTTAAACCTCGTTCAGTGGAGGAAAAAAGTGGGATATTAATCCCTTAAATACTGCACAAATATGTTATTGTTAAACAAGAAAAAAAAACACTTTCTAAAGCTATGCGATCAAAAAATAACATTAAAAGAATTAGTTATATATAGCCTAAAAAAACTCTCTTTTGCTTTATCTTAATGATGTAAATGATGGAAATATTTATTGACAAACTAAAGCCAATAAAGATCAAAACAATGGTTTAGATTAAAAATCAGCGGTCAGTTTAGATAAATTTAATAATTTAACTTTATGTAATCAAATAATGTGAATGAATCATGTTGCTTTAACAGGTTACAGGTTCTTAGTTTTAGCTCACTTCTACAGGACATCCAATTTTGGGGGGCTTCTAATTTGCGTCCTGTGGTCCTAACAATTTCTTGGTTTTTCTTTCAGTATTAAGTAAAATACCTAAATTTAAATTTGATTTACTTTTTTGACCTGAAGCTAATCTTTTGTCATTTTTTCTTCCAATCCCCTTTTCAATCCAATAAAAATATATAAATACAACTTCAAGACTTGATAGTGGTGATAGCTTATCGACCCTGCAGCATTGGTTTTTCTGTAGTGTTCAGGGAAACTACAGAAACTGAAAAAAAGGTGCTACTATGTACCTCGCCGAGTAAAGCAGCGCAGCGGCAAGTGGGGAGACACAAAGAGCTGAAATTAAGACCAGGAAGTTGAGCACCATTCCTAGCAGGACGATGGCGAGCAGGTAACCGTGGAAGAGCAGATGGCGCCAGGTGCTCAGTCTCAACACTTCCACAGGATTGTCTGGATGCAGAAGCCACAGGAGGCCCAGCACACCAATCTGGTTGACCAGTTGGACATAGTAGATGTCAAAAACAGTGGCTTGGGTGTTGGAAGGCGGGCGGCCCTCTGCCTCAGAAACTTTGGCCAAGCTGATCAGGGAAAGACTCTGAAGAATCAAGGCAAGAGGTGCATACAGGTATTCCAGAGGCTCAACTACAAGATCCCCCTCGGATGCTGAGGAGAAGAAGAAAAAAAAGAGTCTGATAAAAGACAAAGAATTCTCTGTTTTAATTTCACATGACATTTAGTGCTTTGGAAAAGTATTCATAACCCTTGAACATTTTTGCTGTTTGGTCTTTTTGTTCTCCTGTTTTTTTATATGTAATCAGCTTCCTGTGAACTCTAAATAAATTTCAGAGGAAGCAGCTGTTTTGAGCAATCACCCAATCAGAGTATGGTAGAACTAAAAGCCTATAAAAACTTGGTCCATCATTGTCCGCTAAGACTAACAGGTCTGTTAAAGTCTTAGATGCAGCTGAGAGGTGCGTGGAGTCTGGAGGAGTTGCAGAAATCCACAGCATAGGTGGAAGAATCGTTTAAAAATGAAGCCATAATCCCACTATTCTAAAAGGGGATTGCTTTTTTTACAGCAATGACAGAGAAGTTAATCAGTAGTGGAATATAAGGTATCCCTATAAGGCACCGTTTTTGTTTCACTTTGGATTATCTTTAAAATTGATGGAATGTGTATATGTTAGTAAATGTGAATTTCTTTCCTTTTGTGAAGAATATTCTTCTTTAGCTCCATAAAAAAAGGACAAACGGGAAAAACAGGTAGAAGACAAGCAGTGACATAAGCAAAGATGTGCAAGTTCATCACATAACATCTTGCCTCTGCTGAAGAAAAAAGCATCCCCACATTATGATGTCAGCAAACTCCCCTGTTATCATGGTATATTTACAGTAATGTGCAGTTGCCAGATTATATACAGTCTTCCATGTTTTGTAAATAGGTTCATTCTTGTCTCCTCTGAAAAACCAGTGGATCCTAAACTTTTATGAAAGTTTTTACACCTCTGCCAAGGAATCTTTTTGACAGATGAACGAAGAAAAAATAATTGCAGTAAACCATATTGCAATGAAACAATCTCACAAAACTTCCAACCTCAGTGAATTTTAACTGGTTAACTAAGTAAAAGATTTCATCACTGGCATCAATGTTTATTTTTCCATATTGCTTTTCAAAATTGGTCCTTTATTCAATTTATGTCTAGTATGACCTTCCTAAAATTTCACTAAGCCCCACACTGTGGGAACCACCAGGACAAACCATGTTTATATCTTTGTCAATGTGTTTGGCAAACTATAAAATCCTCTTAAACACTATCTGATTTATGGCTTAGAGCTTCAAGGTGCACAGAATGCTTTGGGAGAAATATGTATAAAAAGTTTACCTTTGCTGACGACAAACATCCCACTCATGATAGAGATCAACACCAATGAGTGGTAAGATGGTGGAGACTTCACCCTCAGGGCAAAACTGAAACCCACGGTGAGCAGAGGCAGCAGAGGTACGGTGAAGAGGAAGAGGCTCGCATACAAGCTGCTGGCTTTGGCCCATGTCACAAGCACAGAGTGAACGCTGCTGCAGATGGAAGGCAGCAGCAGCCTCTCTCCCAGCAATCTGGAGTAAGATTTGAGTGGCACCAAACCGAGGGCATGGAGCAGGTTTATGAAGACAATAGAAACCAAAACCTAAGAAACAGTGTAAACAGAAACAGCACTGTGAGAGGTCAAAGAAAGCAGAAATAGCCTATGTACTACATATGTGACCTACCGGTAATCATTTTAAAGATTTACAGACACCATAAATAATTAACAGCTTACTTCTTAACAGTTATAACAGGCTGTATATCATCTTTGACACAGCGTTTAGTTTTGGCCATGCATTTATACAATAAAGTCACTAAACAAAAAGTAAAATTTCATTCAGTAAACAAATGAGTAAGCAAAAGTTGATGTTATGTTTATGCGCATTTTTTTAGCATACTTTTCTGTTCAAAACACAACAGTGCAACTTGCAAAGATTATAGCTCAAATCATTTACTAAGAAAGTACAGTAAAGCTGTAAAAACAAGCAACAGACCCATCGGTTACCACATGAGTGCTGCTGAGTCAATGTCAATTAATAATTAATTGTAAGGTGAAACATTTTAAATAACAATAGTACATTTTCCAAGAGCTGCCCTAATTAAACAGCCTCTCTCTGAAACTTTGGATGAAATGGTTTCAGAAGGAAAGTGCATTTTAAAAAACACAAGCATGTTTCAATGCATAATAAATGATAGGCTGCTGATGAAAACTGACTCAGTACTTGGAAATGTAATCCTAGACCTCATATAAAGATATAGAAATCTCCCTCTCTTAATGGCGGACTCAGCCGATGATCAACTCCCAGGTGATCAAAGGTCTTAACCCAGACTACGTTAAAGGTTATAAGACACCTATAATATTTGGTGACTAGCCACCAGCAGGATGCCCTGCTGGAGCTCAATTGTGAGGAAAAAATGATGCACAGAAGAAATAACTGGTTGCCAATGAGCATTTGAAAAAAGTAGTGGAAGAGTAAATTTTTTTGAGGACCTCAGAAAGTTTCTCAAACAATTATTTCAAGCAGTACACTTTAAACTATTTAGGGCTCAAGGCACTATTCTACGATGACGCACCAATAAAGTGCATTTTGTAGATAGGAGTACATTAAAATCTTCAAAGGGTTCATGTTCCCTCATTTTAAAGGTGTAAAACAATTAAAATGGGTGATTTATCAAGAAAACAACCTCAGGCACACCCATCATGGTTAGGATCAACAAAATTAATGTTTTACAGTCCTTAGCTCAGTCTCGGGACCTTCAACCAGCAGGGTGAAAAAGAACAATTTATTTCTGCACCTAAATCCAGAGACAGAGATGTACTTTGGAATACAGATAAACCATCCATTGGTAACCTTTCTATATGCTCAGAGAGGAGGATAACATTGCATCATCATTACTTTATTTGAGTTTTAGTCTGTTCAATACCTAAAATGTCAATCTTAAGGGCTACCTGTGTTATTCCCCGTCGGTCTCATGGTCAACCTTTGAACAGGGTCACATTCTCATGTCAATTCACTACATGGCCATTTGGTTAAACATCTATCAGGTGTTCACCTAAACTTAACACCCCTACCTTAACATTATCTCTGTCCTGTCCTTCAAATCCAACAAACATAGACTAAATGTGGGAAAAGCCCACATACTAGATATTACTCTAGCAATAATAAAGTAGTATGTTAATGATTATTGGTTGAACTATCACAGTTCTTTGCAATAGTAACCAAATGTCTAGAAACTTTCTCCATTTGCTATTACATTTGCAGGCCTTATTGTTTTTGTTAGTTAAGTATGATAAAAAAAACATAAAGAACTGCATCATTTTAAAGTGTAAGAAAAATGGATGCATTGTTTCCAGTATTGAGCCAAAATCTGAAAATATTGCACGAGAAACAGATGACAGTTTGAACTATCATCTGAAAGTAGAAAGACTGCAGCACAGCTGAAGTTATACTAAGACACAGAGGACTCATGGTAACTCTGAGCCTCACAGTGGAGAGTAATATTTTTTTTCTTTTGTCATTAATGTCTGACAAGTCGTTCAGAGTTTATGGGAAAGTGGGACAGCTAAATACAGGACAAATATGGAAATAACTGGGTTAAAAGCTGCCAAAGACTTGAGACTTTCGACAGGTCAACAAACAAAGACAGTCAGCCAGGTATGCAAATTAATGATTCAGCTGGATGCATATCTATGTGTTAGCATGGTCCAAAGTTTATACCTGTTCTATACCAAGCTAAAGCTGTTCTATTAAGTCGCAAGTCGTCATTTTCAGTATTTCAAAAATCCTTAAAAGATACATTAAAATCTGGTCTTATAAAAAATACATTGTGCAAGGGATTGTATTTAGGCCAAGTGATGAATATATATTAAAAAAAAATGCAAATACCATAAATGTTACTATAGCATAAGCAAATTTTCAGGAAACAAATGACTCTCAAATCAACCAGTATGCAAAATCTTGCATGTTGTGCTCCCCTTCTCTGTCACATGTTCTTCAATTTATAAAAGCACAATTCATGGTTAAAGCAGAGGTGTATTTACCAACCTGGGTAAAGCAGAGGGCAACAGGGAAAGGGTAGCGGTACTGTGGGATGAAAACACCAGCCACGAAGTTCCTCAGTTTGTCAGCTTGGCCATATAAGATGACCACCAAAAGGCAGAAAGTGGGAATGAGGGGCTTCAGAGCATGATTTGATGACAGATTCTTCAGTGCTGTGACATGCCATCCTGTCCTCCATCTGGCTAAGCTGCAAATATTTATATGCAGTGTATATTTTGGTTAGCAACATTAGTAAAAATTAAAAATAAAGTTCTTGTACATTCAGGGGTTTGCTTAGATTTTGATAAAACTACCTTTAAACTGTATGACTTTTGGAGTGTGTTTTGGATATACGTACTCAGGCTCTGTTAAGTTTTAAATTGCTGTGTTGTGCCTTTGTTCAAGGCAGAGCTGATGTACTTTAATTCTACTAAGATTTGTTGTCCACTTTGTTTATGCAAACCTTTTCATGATCCATTCATTTTCTCAGAAAATGCCTTTATTATAGCCTCTCAAAAACATTTATGTTGTTGTATTTAAGCCAGTTAATAGCTAATTTGAGGGTATCATTAGGTCGATTTGGAAGACCTTTCTTTTTGATAGAGACTATAAAACGTGCCATTTGCTGAACGAACAACCAACCAAGAGCTAAATTTAAGCCAAAACTATACAAAAATATAAAAACAAGCATTACAGATGAGAAACCTTTTG